CCACTGCCCCGCCCCCCCCCGTGTGCATTTACCCTGGCAGATCAGCACAAGGCCCTGTGTCCGTGACCCTGGTCAACGTGCGCACGGTTACCTGGTTTAGGAGACTTCATCTCAGTAGACCGAGCCCAGAAACGATCGGAGGGCTGCTCGAAGCTCCGGGCGGGAAACAAGCACCACGGAGTCGGAATCCTGAACGGCCTAAAATGAAACATGACGCCCATGAGGACGAGAAGGCACACAACAGCTCGCTCCAGCTGCAGACAAACAGCCGGAGACCTACGCGGGCGCTCCCTGCGGCCACGGGCGTTGGCACAGACCGGCCAGCGGCATGCGACACATGCCCAACGTTCTACTCAGGTAGACGGCCAAGGACGAGCAGAGGAGACAGGTCGCTGGTGGACACGGTCCTCCACTTCTGCGTGTCTGATTGTCATGTCGTCTTCCTATCTCCGCTGTGCGATGGATTTACTTTTTACAACTCTGTGGCATTCGTGCTGAATCCGATCAATCCACTAACGCGGCTAAAGGCTGCCAGAACAGGACACCCCAGAATATGAAGGCGGCAGCTCAGGACACACACCCCTAAAAACATGCCATTTTGAAATGTTGAAATTTTTTGAGTCGTAGGCGCTGGGAAAGCAGCAAATGCAGAAAGAGACGCTCTGAGGTCCCCTCCTCTGTCTCAGACAGACCCTCGAAACGGAACTGCTCGGTCCTCAACGCCTGCCCCCGAGTACCATCACCCAGGCAAGGTGGACCCTGGTCACAGAAGCGGAGACTACAAGCAGACGCCACACTGAGACAGGTGTTGTCGCCAACCGTCGGACCTGTCACCTGTTCTTCTAGGGGTCGGTTCGTCTTCCCTAAAAGCCACTTCCTCTCGTCCCAGTGTGTCTACCCCGCCCGTGTGTTATTCTGATCCAGAGTTCGAACCAGCTCTTTGCGTCGCTCGTTCTCGGTCCGTGTGCCCTGTGTAGACATGAGGTAGACGTGTTAATAAACTCTGTTTTTCTCCCGTTAACCTGTCTTTTATTACTGGGGTCTCAGAACAGAACTCGGAGGGGAAGAGGGAAAATTATTCTTTCTTCGGCCACATGATCTTCTATGTAAGCGCAGCTAATTATTTCCCCCTGAAACTCTTTGACACAGTTTCCTGGTGTTTGGAGCATAATTACAGGAGACACAGTTCGGAACACAATTTCTGGGTGAGGATGGAACAGTGTGGCCATTCATGATTTTGTGTTTAGTACTACTTGTCTTGGATGCTTGAACTTATTATCAACTTTTGGGTGAATTCCTTGCTCTTAGTTAAAGCATCGGACTCCATGATTATCTCTGTAGTGACTGCCAAAAGCTTGGGAAAAGTTATATTTATGCATCTTCAAGCAGAACGATGTTTTCCTACTCATTGGCTACGATTCGGTTCAGAAAGCCTGTGTTTATTAGAGACGAGAAAACCTACTTTGTACGTACCCTCAAATTTTTATATTATTCTACTTTGTAACAGGAAAAGAAAATCAACCTCCTTTCAATGAATAACTTGGTGAACGCAAATTGTGGGTTGGTGCATATCCTAAGTGCCAGGGGAGAGGGCAGCGGAAAGGACAGACAAAGCCACTTTGCTGACGCCTCCTCACTGAGCTGGGAGCCGACGACAAACACACAGACACATGAGCAACGCGATTCGGTACCCGGCTGCCCAGGGTGATGGAGGAAATAAACAGACCAGGGGGCACAGTCACAGGGGTCAGGAGAGCAAGCGCGAAGCCGAGCTGGCAGGCGGAGGGAATACCTCAGACCCGTGCAGACGAAGGCGCCCAGAGCTGGGGCAGCTAAATCCCTTCGTGACAGAGAGACAGACAGATGATAGTAGATAGATAGATAGATAGATAGATACATAGATAGATAGATAGATAGATACATAGATACATAGATACATAGATAGATACATAGATAGATAGATAGATAGATACATAGATACATAGATACATATATAGATACATAGATAGATACATAGATACATAGATACATAGATAGATACATAGATACATAGATACATAGATACATAGATACATAGATGGTCGACAGATAATGGATGGATAAATAGATAAAGATGATAAATAGATACCTACATACATAGATGAGAGATAGATAATATGCAACAGGATACTACATATACACATATATATAATAGGTAGGTAGATGATACATACATACATAGATAAATAGATCATTGATAGCTGAAACATAGATAAGTAGATGGATAACTGATAGGTAAGAAGGTAAATAAATGGTACACAGGTGATAGAAAAGATACATACAAACACACACGCACATATACACACACACCGATACATACACATGGGCAGAAGCATGTATCGTAAGTTGGATGAACAGATAAAGACATAAGCTGAGACGCATAGATGAATAGACAGCTTTCAGTGAGGAACGTGCCTTTTTATCATATGTGGGCAGAAAACGTAAATGGCTCTTCTCATTAGCGATCCAGTGACTGCACACAGGTAATGGTGTTAGCCGCTTGGACCAGATCTGAGTGAAGCTGTTTCATCTAAGTAGCCAACGCTCCCCTGAGAAGGTCCTTCGGCTGGGCGCTCACCCCGGCGCCAGCCCCTTTCCCGGCCGAGGTGTGCGGCGTGGTGCGTGGACAGAGCCTCGCAGCCCCGCGGGGCCAGTGCGCCCAGGACCCACGCACACCGGCCTGACGTCTGGAGGTCGCAGAGCTGCGTGGACATCCTACTGACCAAGGAGTCGATGGTGCTCGTCCGTCTCGTTTTAGTATAAACACCTCGAACCGCTCCCGAAACGGCTTCGGGCGCTGCTGGCAGCGTTCACAGGGTGCGGCGTGTGTGCGGCCGGGTTCTGGGGCGGCCCCCGAGGCATCGCTTACGAAGCACGAGGTGTGCCAGTACCCGGACCCGTGCGGAGCACGGGACGCGCCTAGGCCTGGGCAGAGGAGGAGCTGAGCCCGCGGGAGAAAGGCTGTTCCAGAAGCTGGAAAGCGCAAAAAAAAAAAGAAATCCAGATTCTTCCTAACGCCTCGAGGAAGGGCCAGGGCCGTGGCAGTGCCCGCAAGCCGCAGCCGGCTTGCGAGGAAGACACCGTCGCCGTCTTCCGAGGCTGTTCGCTACTCGAACGTCCTTGAGAAGCGAGTCCGGAGCGAAGGCTGTGAGGACCTCTGCTTGCGGTATAGACAGAATGCAAGACGACGCGGAAGCATGGTGTCCCCAGCTCCTTTCCAGGCAGGCGGCTTCTCGGACAAACAGGAAAATGACTCAGAGGGAATTAGAGCCTATGCACGGTGTCACCAGGTCACCGCGATGCTCGGTTCCCACGGAAACGGGGCGACCAACCCCCCACGGACCCCGCCCCCCAGGCTCAGCCTCCTTCCTACTCACGGCGGCACGTGTGCCACGGCTGGTCGAGGATCAGTAGGGAAGGCCGAGAGACAGAAACGCACGAGTTTATTTCAGTGACGTCTGTGTGTGTGTGTCTGTGTGTGTGCGCGCGCACGTTGCGTGTCTCTGTGATCAGCAGGCCTTTTATTCCCTCTGATATTTTCGAGTGAAGTTGTTACTTAAGGACCAGCAGATGACAGGCAAGGAAGAAGGAATCAGAGGGAAGATATGGCAAAAACGCTCTCAAGTGCTTCTCCACCAAATTGCTTTCGATTTATCTATTTGGTTACTTTCCACCCATCTGTTATGTTGAGGCTCCTACTTATGGCTCACGGAACTGCGTGAAGACTTCGCCTGAAAACAAGTTATATTTTATGGTTTACGATGGTCTGAGGCCCTGGAGCTCTCAAGTCGTTCTAAATTGTATACTCATATGTGGGCGTTTGTGATCTAAAACGGAGTAAGTCAGACAAGTGGGCAGGGAGAGAGAGAGAGAGAGAGAGAGAGATTGAGAGAGAGAAAGAGAGAGAGAGAGGCTAGCTATCTAAAAAAGGACCAAAGTCATATCGCTCAATCATTTCTTAAAGTCATTCAGCTCATCTGAGTTTTCTAGAATAAATGAGAGGCCTCACAAATGTGCGAGATGGGGCCAGATTGCTGAGGATCGTCACCATGCAGCCCCTGGTGGGTGCACAGCAGAAGGTGTCATCTCCACTGCCTTGTACGGAAACAATCTGAACTCTCCTGGCTTAGGGAAATAATTTTCAACCTAAAGAAAGAATTGACTGCGAAGCAAGAAAATATTTAGGTTGTTTAATTTCTTAAAAAGATTATTCTCAAACACTTTGATCAATAAAGATGCGACCCTTAGAGTCGTCGTAAAGGTGACTTCGGTGATCACGTGTACGCCGACAATCATCGTACAGCACAATGGCCCCTATTGACAGCTCCTAAAAGGCAATCGCGAAGCTCATATGCAATTGGAAATTTCAGTCCAAATGGTCTCTACTGGGCTCCCGAGTGAGCAGCGAAGGACTTGCTCCTCATCACCAAACAGCTGCTCCGAACGGCCCCCGCCGGCTCGGCACTCACGCCCTCCCCCACGCGTGCCGCCGCTGGCTTCTGTGAGCACCAGGACACGGCCGCCGCCAGGGCGATGTGCGTGAAGCCCGAGTCCAGGTCGTAAAATACGTTATGCTGTGGGTCTTGCCCACTGCCTCGGGTCACCCGTTCTGAAGAAAGCTAGCTGCCACCTCGCAAGGACACGCGAGGAGCTCCACGGGAAAGGCTGCAAATCAAGGACCTGAAACCGTCCCCCTACCAATAGGAAGGACCCGGGACCTCCCGCCGACAGCCATGGAAGCGACCATCTCGCAAGCAGAGCTGCCAGCCCCGGCCAGGCCGTCAAATGATTGTCGCGTCAACTGACATCTTGACGGCCACCCCAGGAGTTACCCTGAGCCCGAAAATTACAGAATTATTGAACCACAGAAGCCGTGAGAGAAGGAACGTGTCTTCTTATGAGCCACGACACGCCGTGTCGATCCGTCACACAGCATTAGATAACGAAGTCACATCATCACCGTTACCATCTTCCACGTGGGGCACCACATGGAGATCTCGGGGCTATGGCCGCGATGAGAAGAATTTGGCACAGAAGTTTCGGCATGTTTGACGCCGCTGGTCCAGGACGTGGGCGCCGATGACCCTGGCTGTCAGATGACCGCAAGGGCCACGTAGACGACCCGTCACGTGGCAGATAGGACCGCCAATGTACTATCATGCAGAATCTTTCCAAACCAGAGTACCAGAGTGTGACACAGCTGATTCTTTTCCTCTTTCTCACTTGTGCACATCCAGATTTGAGAAAAAGATACATCAGATATTAATGTTTGAACTAGACAAGGTAATTCCAGGTTTAAAAGAGGAAACACACACACACACACACACACACACACGCACACACACACACAGAGCCAGTAAAATTCAAGACAAGAAATGTAACTAAGGACAAAATGATGCGTCACAGATAATAAATCCTATATAAAGCTAGAGGAATTTTAAAAGTTTGGTTCCGGGGAAAAAAAGTTTGGTTCTCGTTCATGGGATAGGACAAAAGTATTTATGGTA